AAAACATCAGCAGCATAAATTTTAACCGGCCAGTTTTGGCCTCTTTAGTGTTCCGTACAAATCGTAAAGACAGAAAAAGAACCAAGGAGAAGTAATAAACGACCACACATAGGTCATAGGGTTCATCCAATGGCAGTGCTAAAACGTATAACAAGATTACAGTTATGCTCATTGTTTTATTTTCTTTAGATGCAGGTTTTGCAGTTTTCCCAGTAGTGAATTATTCCCATTTATAGATGAATAAATAAAACATGAAGCAGCATAACTCACGCCTGTTCCAGACTCTGATAGAAAAGGTCTGCCGTTTCTCTGATAAAGAAGTTTTTAGTGAGCTCTAAATTAGGCAGTTTGACACTCAGCGATGGAAAGAAAAATATACTGTTGATGGATGTGGTTCTTTTCCCTTCTCTGCACAAATCATTCACTCCACATGCTTGCAAAAAGCAAAATCCATGAACATTATTGCCTGTAATATTTGGCAGTTGAGAACTATTAGGGAAAAAATGAGGGAAAGACCCAGAAAAAAAGGAAGAGTTGCAGACAGAGGCTTTATTCTGCAGTTTTATGTCCACCTTGGTGCCCTTGAATGGTTTTCCGTGGAACTGAATTCCAGTGTCTCCGGCGTTTTGTGAATCAGAGGCGTCAACTGGTGTGAGTCTGAGCAACGGGGCAGCTCTGCAGAGTCGGGGCGAAAATATGTAGGGGCTTTTAAAGGCACTGAAGGAAACTTGGAAGGGAAAGGTTGTTTTTCACTCAAGCAGTCTCAGCCCTCAGGACAAGACTCGTCCTGCTGGTAAGGATGGGAGGAGCTATTTTAGGCGTTCCTTAGGGATCTGCCCTCTCTAATTCATAACAAAAGATCCTAACTTTCCCCTGGATAATAGGCTGAAACGTCGCACTACTGAGCTGCTGTCTGGAGACATGCAGGTGCATTTGGTGCTTTTAAAGAGTGACTCATTGTAACCATTCACTGATGAGATTCTGGGGAAAGAGCAGCTGATTATTCAGGGCCACAATGGTGTTTTTCTAGCTGTTCACTGTATTTTGAGGAGCTGGCAAGGTTGAATCACTGGTTTAGATGTTTTCTAGATTAGAGTGAATGTGAGCTGTGCTCTTTGTGACTAATGTGACTGGTGCTTGTTAATGATGGAGGTAAGCATGCAGAAAATTAATAGCTGTTTTCAGGGAACACAAAACAGTGCTGATGGATGCAGGAAGAAAGCTTTCTGCAAACATGATACCTGCAACTGCTGATTGACCTTAGAAGACACAGACATGGTCATAACTCTTGTCAAAAAGTTGAGACTCCTCTATGATGCTTGATTTTTACTTTTTGCAACACTAAGACAGCCACTCTGGCCAGTTTGGCACCCACTCTATCGAGGAGGCACTGTGCTTGACACAGTGTTGTTGAAATATTCAAGACCTTGTCTGGTAAAGATACTCAGAACAACATGTTGATGCACCAACAAACCGTCACACAAACTGTGCTGAAAATAACCAGATGATCCAGGGACTGATCAGAACTCAGTTTTCCAGTCTGCCTTGCTTCACCTTGTCTGAGCTAAGGACCAGGGGCCTCATTTATCAAGCTTGCTTACGCACAAAATGGGGTCGGAAAACTGCGTAAGCAACTTTCCACACAAACTTTTGGATTTATGAAAGAAAACTTAAAAATGTGCGCAACTTTAAGTTGACTAAGGACCTGGCTTACGCACATTTTGGACATGGAGAGCACCTGCAGTGCTGCTGCTGAGAAGGATAAAATTATGAAATCTTGCAGCATTATCACTTGTACTGCTTCGTTTTCACACAGAACAAGACCCCCCCACACACGCACACACACACACACGTACTCCCTCTCGGCGGGAGGCGTTTTTCAAGCTCTAAAAACTCCAAAACTTTGCTCAGCCTGAAGGTTCCACATCTCCACTATCTTCTGATGTAAAGTCGTAACTTCATGAGGGATCATATTTGTAGATGAGACTTGTTAAAGTCAGCAATGAGGCTTTGGCGCTTTTAACGAATAAGTCCCAAAACCGACAACAATGTACTGAAACTCTAACCAACATGCATGAACAGACAGACCGGTCCTGCCTACTTACATTGTTGGTCTTTTTTAAATACACAGTAATCGTTGCTTGCCTTTTTCGCTTCATCCTGCATCCTAGCAGCAACCACTTTGGCCCCTCTTGAGTCGGTGTTTGTTTACGTCATGCTGCATTCAATGTAAAAGGAAAAGGGAGCTTCAAGCGCTTAACCTTCGATTGTGTTTTCTTTCTGGCCTTAGTGCGGGGGACGGATCGGGGTCGATCTGAATCTGGGGGGGACAGATCCCCCCGTCCCCCACCCTATCGGTGTGCCTGCTGGAACGTGTCAGCAGTGAACCAACATCCCAGCGGCTGGAAAATTAGTCCTGTTGTTGCAATACCACCTCTGAACACCAGAGTTTGCCAGATTGTCCGTGTTCCATATTCAACATTTAAGTCAATTCTCCAGTCTTTGAGGCAAGTCCACGTAAAGTCTCAAGTCCAAGTCTTTGACTCAAGTCTCCATCCCTGTCGCATAGCTAACAAAACTCTGAAACGTGTTATTGTCATGGTGTTATCCACAAGTGGGTTATATTTTTATTTATTGTATTTCTTATTTATTTTCAATCTTTAGCATGAATAAATATAAAGTCCTGTCAAAGGAGACTATCACCTCACGGACACTCAATAAAGTTTTATCTTCCTATAAAAGTCAGAAGGGTGTCCATTTTTAAGTGATAAAGAGTGTGTAACGTCTTATAATAATAGTTTTACATGGTAAAGAGCTAAATCAGAAAGTAGTTTTTATTCCTGAATATGATTTAATTTTAGTAAAGAGTGAAGGAAAAATGTTTTATAATTTTGATTAAAAGAGATTTGGAGCTGAATTTAATGGTAACCAGAAAGTATGAACTCTTCTTGTTTATCCTTAGTTCAGAGTTAGAGCCTGAAGCTGAGGGATTTTGATGAATCGCTGCAATTATTTTGTCAGTGAGGTTTTTTTTTTAATTCAAGTGTGAGAGTTTAAAACCATAAAACGAATTCTGGATCAGCTCCTGATCTTTAACGCCATCGACCGAAGGGGATTTTTTAATTATTCTCCAAAAAACGTTTAAAGTCATTTTTATCCCGGTCATGTTTCATACTTAATTATCTTCTGTGGTAAATTTATCTCTTAGTTTTTCACGCTGCTCATTATAAAGTGAGTCTGTCAACTCCCTGTTTGTGCAAATTAGCATCTTAAGCGTCTCTGCCTCTCTGTCGAAGACTCAGAAGGATGAGCATGAAGGAGAAAAAGGAGAGGGTGTGGGACGGAGAGGAAGTTCTGTCTCCTTGTTAAACCCTCTGACCTCTGTCTTATAAAAGAGAAGCATCTCAAAGTAATAGCAGAGGAATCAGCGGTTCCGTCAGTCCTCCAGCCACAACTATTTGCATAACAGCAACAACTGCTAACACAGTGTAAACTCAGGAGGAGTGCTGTGGTAAAATGAAGTTTATTACTAATTTTATCTATCACTTAATCCTATTAGGGTTATTGGGGGGCAGAAGAGTATCCAGACATGCAGAGGCAGGAATTCAGTCCATCACACGACTAAAATACTGTTAAAAAAAAGACTTCCTTTGATCAGAGAAAAGACATGAGCAAGTGGACTAAATGAAATGTTTAACTAATGCTTTTATTCCAGCAGGAGGAAACAATTTGTCATCCTTATTATGCGATACTCAGCCAGTTATGTAACGCTAATCCCTTCATGAAAATCTACTGCAAGTACGATTAAGTACGTAAGACTGTTAGGAGGGATTGGATTTGATGGGAGCTGTCAGGTTCTTATTAGCAAGAAGGTCACCTCCAGGTTTTCTGGTGCGGGGTTCCCCAGGACCAGCATCTGTCTGTGGAACTTTTGTATATTTTTAGACATTGATCTTTTTCTCACTTCAGTGTGACAATAATTATATTTTAATTATGTTTGTGAAATGTCTGTTTTATGCTCTGAACCTTATTGCTATGTACATGAATCCAAGCCCAACCAGTCATGTCTGAGATACATAAAGTGATGCAGTAGCCCATGGTGTGCAACACTGGCTCTCGAAGGCCCCTACCCAGCATGTTTAAGAGGTTTCCCTGCTCTAACACACCTGATTTTAATCTATAGGTGATTAACAGACTTCTGCAGAGCTTGCTGACCTGCTGAACATGTGATTCATCATTGACTCTAATGTGTTAAAATAACAAAAGCATTCCAGATCTGGGTTCTCGAGGACCAGGGTTGGACACCATTGCAGTAGGGGAACCATCTTTAACACTGATGCAGTGTATTTTACCTGAGACCATGTTAACAGAGCAGCATTGCTCATTTGTCACCAGCATCATCTCATTTCAGAGCCATCATGGGTCTGATTAGCTCTGTCGGTGGATCTGTGGCCTGTGTCACAGCTGTTGGGTCAAGAGGCTCAAGATCAGCGGCTTGCATTGTGATTTAAATACTATCTTATTGGGGTTGGATTTGTGTAAGAATATTTAAAGCTACTTGAAGGTATGAACTATTGCTCTAAAATATCTGTTTGAAAAAAAAAAAAGAACAGATTTGATCCAGCAGACTGGCTTAGTCTAAAACAGCAAACAATAAAACTTCACAACAGTTCAAGATCATTTTATTAACCAGCTGGTAACTGTTAAATTCCCATTTTATAGGGATTTAGATCAAATTTGATGTTTAGCAGTTAGCGATAGCAATTTGGGTATTTTAGACAGGATTTCTGCTGAATCAACCATGCAACGTGAAGTTGTCAGTGTTTTGAAAGTTCATAACGTCACATTCACGTGAACTATTATGAAATGTTTGAGTCATTCATAGATAACTGAAATAAACTTTACTATTAGCCTTGCTCATATTAGCCTGTAGCTTATTAGTCTGGTCTTTTTACAAGAGGTAGGCATTTGAGTTAAACTTGTTTTTTCTGTTTTCCAAGGGGTCTTCTATTCAACCATGCAAACACAAGCTACAGATGAGGGCGCTGCAGTGGACATGAAGCTGTACAGTCACCGGTGGAGGAGATGGCTTCCTCCAAAGCCGCGGAACATGGACAGCAACAGGGCCAGTCAGGAGCAGGATCAGGATCCTGATGCAGAACTGGATGAGCCCAATGGTTTCCCTGGACTGCTATCTACAGAGGAAACTGACAACAGCTCCCAGATAGAGGTAAACTAGGCTTAGGTGCAACAAATTTGACTCGTTTGAGGAGCAAAAAATAAACCTTTAAAGTTACACTTAATAGTTTTTTAAACTTTAAGTTAGAGCTTCAACATTGATCTCAGTGGTTGTTGAGTAAGACATCTGACCAGTTTCTTATTTGACACCACTCTGCAGCCCTCTGCTGTTCAAAAACCACACTTGATAGTTTTTTGGAGCGGGTGGGTGCTCTAAAGCAGAAGCTCTTTACCTGCTTTAATAGCTGTTAGCTGTTATGTTAGCAGTTAGCTTTTTAAGTTCACCGATTGTCAGTAAAGCACAAGAAGAAGAAAAAGAAGTTTGCGTTTTTGTTAGTGTCATGGCAGAGCCTGGAAGTAAAAGTAAGAGAGTACTGCCTTTGGAGGCAAAGCGAAGAGCTAAAACCAGAGTAAACATTGGCGCAGCCTACACTAGTTTGAGGGAGCTAAAGGAGGCTATAAAATCTCAGACTGATGTTGACCTGGCTTTGTTGCTACTGGACTAGTAAGTGATATTATTTTATGTCCAACAGTGTTGATCTTTTTACTTTGTAGTTTATTTTAGTATTAATTGGCTCATGTTAGTGTTAGCTCGTTGTTAGCGCTAGCTACAACAGGCTGCTGCAGGGCTGTTTATGACGGTTGTAATTTCATTTTCAACCAGTAGGGTGAAGGAGCAGAAAACTTCTTAGAGTTACTTTAAATTTGAATATTTTTCTCTGCTGTCACTTCAAGGTCCATGTGGTTTATTTTTATTATAGTATTTTTATCAGTTTTGTAGATGTGGGGTTCCTCTAAAAACATTTACAGCTTTTTCTCTGTGGTCAGTGTTTTAGTGACTATTGTGACTTATGACTTTTAAATCTGCAACTATGATAAATTAAGGGTAAAACTTCCTGGTTTTTGTCTGTCTGGATCCAAATGATTCAGAAATAAAATAAATCTTGACAATAAGTTCATTTTAAAGCCTAAAAACCAAAATCACAACACGTTTATCTCCCAGGAGAATGAACATTATTCAAATTAAAGCACTTGCTTATATTAGCATCAGGTTAGTTAGAAAAGAGGCACCAACTGCACGTTTTTTCTTCTAAATTTTAATTTTCCTTTCATTAAAAATCTCCACCTGCAGTTATAATTGACAGACGGAGCTGCTTTGACGGTAGAGTTTTAGAATTATAGGATATGAAAATACCTCTAAATCAGATTAGTTGTGCTCTGTTTGGATTTTCTGAGATAATAAATCTTCTCGTTTCAGGATGAATTCATCTAAATAAAGTTCTTGTCGGAGCTGTATCTAAAAATACTGTTTGGTCACCTCCCTGGAGCAAGCTCTTCTTAGAAGACTAGACGTTTAATAGAAGACGAGTAGTCCCTTTAAGATTTAACGTTTCATTTAAAATAATGCTCAGCCCTCAGGTGTCTACCTTCTGTGTGGGTCATTTAGAGTTAGACCGCAGAGACACTAAAGCAGGAAATTAACCCAGACTCCAACAATGAGAACAGAAATGCGGACCTGCAGGAGGTTAATAGCCATGTTTGACCTGAGTTTGAGTCTGTGGGAACGGGAGGCATGGGCTTGTCCCTTTGTTGTGGCGTCTCGTCTGATGCTCCGCACTGAGGATTTCAGCCGTAATGACGGCGGCCGGCTGGGTTTAGACAGCTTGTTAAGTTTCCCTGTAGCTTCTAATCGTCTCGGGTTCACAGCTACACGTCTCACAGAGGAGGAGGCTTTGATCGCCAGCTGTAAACATTCACCCACATGCTCGTGTACACAGACCACATTAAACCAGTCAGCCAGAAGGAACGGCTCTGAGGAAATACAATGACTGAGAAGACCCAAATGTGGTTTCTTCATGTGCTGGTTATATCTATCATAGTGCAACATGATAATACATACACATGGTATGACATCTTTTTTGTTTTAACATTTCAAGGATTCTGTTCTGATCACATTTTTAGCTCCTGATCCGAGTCATTTGATTTTGAGTGTCTGTTAAAATAAATGAAAAAGGTGATCAAACCCAAGTTGTCCTTTAAGTTTTTGTTATTATTACTTGGAAAATTTTTCTTTTAATATTTATGTTTATCTGCAAAAAAACCATTCCTCATTCAGCAACTACATTGATAAGAAATGTGTTAATATTACATTTTGTTGCTCATATTTCCACTTGTTTACTTTCTCAAAATGCAGCTGTAATGAGCAATCCTGCATCGTGGCACACACCTCATGGTTAAGTTAAAGTTAAAGTCCCATTAGTTGTCACACACACTGATGTTTGTGCGAAATTTGTTCTCTGCATTTGACCCATCCCCTGGGGGAGCGGTGAGCTGCAGACACAGCCGCGCACAGGAACCATTTGGTGGTTTAACCCCCCCAATCCAACCCCGTAATGCTGAGTGTCAAGCAGTGAGGCATTGGGTCCCATTTTTTCTAAGTCTTTGGTATGACCCGACCAGGAATCGAACCCTGATCTCCCAGTCTCAGGGCGGACACTCTACCACTAGGCCACTGAGCTGGTCCGCAAGCTGAGTTTCCTCTGCACTATACCTCACACCACGACTCCAGGAGACTGCGACAACCTGTCTTTGTGTCTGTTGGTGTACGTTCCAGCATGAAAAAATGCTGAACGGATTCTCACGCCTATTGAAACTTTGAGTGCATGTCTGCTTATCACAGAGACGAGAGGTCATGAAGACACAGTGTAGAAACAAAGATGCTAAAACACATCCTGTTTGGAGTCAGATTGTCTGCTAACTTAGGGAATATGTGTTTATTCGTGAGGCATGTCCCGTTCATGAGTACAATGTGATAACTGTACTTGAAATAAAAAAGATGTGAAAAGAAGAGATTATTATTATCAGTGTTTTCCCTCTTTTTGCAGATTTGTGTCCAGCCAGGAAAATGATTGGTGACTGTGTCAATCTTGAATTTCCTGCTACTTTGATTCCTTTATTTATTTGGTTGAGTTGCAATTTTTGCCTTATGAGGTTTATAATCTGTGTGTAAATTATATTTTTCTGGGCTTTCACGTTTGCCTGTTTTTGCCTGATGTTTTGTTTTGGGCAGCATGTGTGCTTGATGGCAGAAATATGTTGCTTCCCTAAACTGCCCTCCTTGAACCTTACTTGCCTTACGATGGTGGAGAAGTTTAATCAGCCTACTGATCTCTGTTATCTGGCATACTTTGCCCTCAGTTTGGTTTCCCATGGAAAACTGGTTCTAGACTGAACAAAAATATAAATGCAACACTTTTGTTTTTGCTCCCGTTATTATCTCGGGAAAGGAGAAGATTTAGACAGATTTGTGAGCAATGGGTCTTTTGTGTACGTTTTGCAGACCTTTAGTATAAAAATCACTAGAATCCCACACGGTTACCGGAATCTCACCCTGGAGCTGGGCCTGGGCTTGGGGCCCATGAAGCAGCGCTCTGTGGCAGAGCTTTCTCCTGTGGGGCCCGTCTGGGCCCAGTCTGAACAATTTATAGTAACTGGCCTTGTGTAGCTCTAATTCAGTTTAGCTGATGATGATGGCAGTGTTGACGGTTCTTTTTCCAGCCATGTAATTTGTCATTTGGGATATCAAACAGTACCTCTCTGGCAGGAAAAGGAGGGAGTTTTTTGAAAAGGTTGAGCGGTATTGGCCAGATGTTGTTGGACTCACCTTCACGCAGAGTTGGCTCTAGGACCAAATCCTTGAGAGCCTCTGTTTTTTGCTGGAGTTACTCCAGGTGAGAGAAGACTTTTTCAGTTACCTGACTTTGCCTATGCAGGTTTACCTCGTACAACGATAAGGAAACTTCCTTTTGCCTTTGGGTTGAGGGACAGGTTCAGACTGTTGTTAGTGCAGATCGGAGCAGCATCTCCAGTGAATGGAGTAGAGTAGACGATGATACAATCCGTTTGTTGTGAAGACAGAACAGACAAAAAGCAAAGTTGTCTAATTACCAGGCAGTCTGCCTTTACCCATGGTCAAACGTTTTTGGTAATGACCACAAAATCGAGATCAAGAATACAAAAAGGTGGCTGGCCTCAGTCTTAGGAGCTCAGACATTTAGGATGTACTCCAAATAGAGCCACTGCTCCTCCACATCAAGAGAAGCCAGCTGATGTAGTTTGGGCATTTGATCAGATGTCTTCATTTTGGGGCGTACACAGTCATTCGGAGACACGGAGGTCGACCCAGGACATGCTGAAGGAATTTAATATCTTGGCTGGCCTTAGAACACCTTGAGGTCTCACCAGTGGAGCTGGTGAAAGTGAAAGTGAAAACGGTCCGAGCTAGGGCTGCTGCTCCTGTGAACCCATCCCAAATAAACAGCTGACATCAACATATGAAAGCAAAGTGCAAGGTGTTTAAAAAACACGTCTGTTCCAATGCACCAGTACTATGAAGGTACAGAATGTTTTCGTTCTCTTTAAGACCAACTTGATAGTGGATGTCCTTTCTGTAATGGAATAGAACAAACTAATAATCAGCCTACATGGTGGCTGACTGATTAGAAAATGCACCAGTTATTATATCTTTGAGCACCATGTTATCATCCAGTATAGCAGATCTGTTTGTTAAGATAAAACAGGGGTGATATATTTTGCCAACACTTTAAAACACCTGCTCAGGCTACGAACCGACCTAAAGAACCTGTCTGAATACCAAGCAGACCTAAAGAAGCAACCTTGACTTGCAGCCAGCTGTATTTAAGTGACTCGGGATGATAGATCTTCAGTGGACCTCGGCAGTCTGTGCTGCCTGCCTCACACACTCAATTCAGCCTGAAAAGCTGCAGATTTACAGACAATCCAGATGACAAAATCATAGGATGCAGTTGCAAGAAGCTCAGTGGCACTGATTGATAGGGACAGTCAACGTTTTGTTTTATCTTCACTCAAAAAGCAAGAATAGTGGCACTCAGATGAAAGATTAGAGAGTATGACTTTTTTCAAATCCTCTGCATTCAAAAGACGAGGCAGGTGATGTAATGTGTTTGCAAA